TGGCACCTGGAGAGCTGCAAATCAGCACTATCATATAAGAAACATTAATATAGAACATTGATTGGATTCATTGATTCTCACCCCTCCCCCTCACCCCTTTGGTTTCTTATTTGGGTTTGGAGGGAAATGCAAAAGCTTTGCTTTACCTCTCCATGCTACCATATTCGGACAGGGGCTCAGATTGATTAAATGTCTTTTACAATTAAATGTACTTAAGGAATCATGTGCATTTCTGAATTGCTCTCCCTTTTCCTGACCTTGGATCATTCAAAATATTCGTGGCCAGCAAGATAGATCTGAGCTTCAAAGGAACCTGAAACAGGCAGGAAGGAAAATCAATGGTCACAGATGCTATTGCAATCTCTGCATCCTGAGTCTGAAATAGGTGCCCTGAGTTTTTTCACTAGACCCTTCGTGCTCATCATTGCAAAGGTTCCTTGGTGTTCAAGCACTGTAAGCCGCCAAAGGAGGCTTATTTTTAATTATTCTTTTTATCAGTAACTATATAATCTCTTGATTAGCCTCAACTGAATGCAGGGTCTTATAGCCTGAGGAAAGAGGATGTTAGGATTATTGGAAGTTTTATTATATCCTCTGTCCTAATTATTCCCCTTCCACAAATACTTCTCCTCACTGTAAGCAGATCTCTGCAATTTGTTTATGAAATGACAAAACCTTTCATCCCACAAATGGAGACAAAGCTTAAAACATATCTCAGCCCAGGGAAAAGGACACATATTTACCCTTACACTAACTAGGGACTAAATGAATGCTACTACAGTTATAGAGCCCTTTCCTGATCTAATAGTCTATCTAACACCCAGTCCAATCTCCTTATTTTAAGGAGAAGGGAACTGAAAATTGTACAAGGTCTTCCAGCAACTTTGTAAAAACAAAATTTCTTTTCTGAAAGAATTTTAATAAGGGAGTACCTTAAGAGCACTGAAGTTAGACATTTGTGACCAGGTTTACCAAGGGTAGGTTCAAGTGTATTACAAAGCTGACTATTATAGCAAGTCACTCACTAAAGGAGTTAAAGTTAGTCTATCATCAATGCCCAAAACGTGCCCTTCCCTTGGCTCTTCCCTAGAGAAATTCACCAAAATTCCATGTCTCTTATTCTGCTCTGTCCCCTCAGCATCTAACATAGCACCTGCCCCATAGAAAGCACACAGTAAGTGTTTGATGAATGACCACATCTCTCCAGAAATAGGCTTTTCACTGAATCCTCCAGGCACACTCTCCGCCTTGTGTGTACATTTATTGTTTGGATGGCTTCCCAGGTTAGGAGCTTTGCCCTTAGGTGTGTTAGTGGTCAGAGACCAAAATGAAGGCTACAATCCTCTCAAAGTTGAACCCATAATCTTGGCTTTCATTAAAGCTCATGAGGAGCTAGTCAGGCTATATTGTCTGTTATATTAGAAGCAAAGATCATGGGATCAATTCTTTGGAGTCTAGAGTCACCGATTTTATCTGAGTATCCTGAACATCTTAAAGAAGGGAATGCAGATTCCTCAATTGGAAGCTGGCACACCTTCCCCAATAAACTTCTTCCAATCTTTTGAGAGAAATCTTTTTGGCTGTGGTTGGAGCTACAGGACAAAAGTAAACAGGGTATTGTAGGATTTAGGTCAAGCCACTTGGGGACATATGGCTCATAGGTCAGACTTCCATTTCTTCCTTCCTGTCAGGATATGCCCTCAGCTTCACAGTGCCCACGTTTACCAAATCTCTACCTGTTTATTCTCTGCCTTTCCTGGCTTGCCTGTTCTCCCCAGCATGCCTGTCTCTCCTTGGGCTGCCTCAATTAGTTCCCACTGCTTATGCCGTTTGTGTTCATGGCAAAAGTTTTCAGTCAGGTATGATGATGGGAAGACAAGGCAACCCTTGAGGCAGGCTACCCATCAGTCTCAGATGAAAACAAGGTGCAGCAGCCAAGCACACTCCTGTTGGCTGATGGCTAAGCATTGGCTGAGAGTTGATGCCTTCAGTTGGCCTGAACCAATGAAAAGGAGCCAAAGATAGTCTCTCTAGCCATTTAAGAGATTTCCACCTATGATTGGCCCCAGGGTACTTCACTTCAGGGTTCTCTCATTGGCTTGGAACAGCATGCTGGCAACCAGGTCACTCTGTAGTGAGTAGGCACCTACGTAGGCATGCAGTTGGGCACAGCCTGCTGCTGGGCACTCAGGGGAGAGGCAGATAGAGGAGGAGGTATCAAGATCCTCCCTCTGCCTAACTGGTGACATCTTGGGGACACACCCACTTCTCCTTTCTGTGCCTCTCCCCGTGGGCTGGGCCTGCTCGCTCTCCTGGTCCCATTCCCCAAAGGACTTCGATTCCCAGGTATGGTGGTGACTGGCAACACAGGGTAAGATGTAGCCTTTTCTCAGAGTTGTTTGCATTGGTCATAGGGGATTCCTGAAATCTGAAAGGCTGTGACGGTCCAAAGAAATCATGGATTCATAGAATTTTGGTGCCAAAAGGGAACTCTGATACAGTTCCCATTTTGTGGATGAGGAAGAAAATTGAGGTGAACTTGGACAGGTAATGGAATTTGGTCAAAGTCATACAGCTAGTTAGTGGCAGGACTCCTGACCACAAGCAAGGGCATTTCTGATGAATCACCACTGAGTTGTGAACTGTGGTATTTCATGAGTAGCTTTCTATCATTCTTCAAACTAGTGGTTTTCTGCCCCTGGGAAATTCCTAGTCCCACTGGGAGATCTTCAGAGCACAAATGCATCTTAATTAACTTTCCCATCAAGTTTTTAGCTGTTTCTTCAGTAGATGAAGAGGAAAGCTTGTGCCATGAGCTTTCTCTCATTGTTTACTCTTCTTGTGATTATCAGCCTACAGTAGTGAACTGACTGTGGCCAAGGCTCTGGAGTCACATAACCAGCTATCTAGCTAGGAAGTTGTCCAACTGGGGAATCTGGCCACTAACATCATAATGTTTGAGCCATCGCTGTTTGAGATGCAGCAAAGAAGCAAGCCAATTACTAAATGGCAAAAGGTCTGAGCCTAAGCTATTGTCACATTAATATGAGTGTTTCATTTTTCACCCATTTATCCTCCAAATCCCTTTTTTAGGTTAGAGACTTGGGTTTATTTGTTCATATGTAAGATGAGCCTCAGGAGAGTCCTGAAATCCTGGCCATGGATAGCTCTGTATCACCAACAACAATACAAAAAAGGATAAAGGGATTTTGATGGCTCAATCCAGCTTCCCTTCATTGCTTCTATTTCCTTGATGCTTCTGTTTTCCTCTTCTCCTTTAAAGGCCAGTGTAAGTCCTTTCTCCAGGAGCCTTTCCTTACTTGTGCCACCCACATCCATCTCTCCCTCCTTTGGATTCCCACTGTCCTTCCAGCCTATCTCCTCAAATGACACTTAACTTATTCCATTCTAGATTTCTCACTATTGGCTTGATGTATCAGTCTCATCTTCTCACCCAGACTGTAAGTTCCATAAGGTCAGAGTACACATTTTCTACTTGCTAAGTGTGCCCCACAACACCTGGTGGATGCTCAAATCGAACTAGAATCATAGCTTTTGTAATGTTTCCAATATACTTGAGTGTAACTCAAGATTAACTCCATGATCACAACTTTATAAATTATGGAAATGGAAAATAAAAGCAGGCAAACAGGAAGGAAATGCACTCCAAGTGTGCAAGAGGTAGGATGATTGAGTTTCAGTGTTCATATATTTACTTGAATTCCCAAGCTTTCGATAAGAAGCATGCATTTCTTATGAAAAATGAGCTGTATTTAAAAAAGGAGTCATGGATTCATGGGTGCTGAAAAGTAGAGGAGGAAGAGAGGGTAGATAATTTACATAAGTCCTGTTTCATTATTTTAAGGTTGTAAAGCCTGGGGTGCTGTTCTGGGAGATGCCAAGCTGCCTAATCAGTCTCCACCCTCTAGAAGGAAATGGCCCAGTATCCTGGACACATTGAGGTTGAGCTTCCTAACATCTCTGGAAATCCTCCTGCTCCACTGGGTCTCCCCTCTAGGCAGTAAACCCAGAAGTGGCTGTGTGGTTTTCTCCTTAGTTTTCCCATGGCTTCAACTCGTGCTCTAGCCCCTTGCTAGTCTCTTCTGGCATTTCCTGCCTTGCTTTTGTAACATCCCAGCATTAAGAATAGTACCCTTACCCACCAAGTGGCTGGAAGTTAAAAACACCCAGCTCTACCCTTAACTAGCAATATAAATTTACTGTACTCTGAGTACTTACTGGGAAGGGGATCTCAAACTGCCACTTGATACCTTTGCAAAGACTAGTGAAGAGCAATACTATTGAAGAAGGACCACCTGAAAGTGCTACATGCAGCTCATCCATTCCTTTTACACTGAGCCCAACAACAGAATAACCCCCAGACACCTGCTGTACCCAGCTTTTCCTCCTAGTCAGGTGTAACTCATCTGCAGCCAGGAGAAAGACTGGCTGTATTATCCAAAAGAGGTTGCCAACTAACCATCAGAGCAGACCTATGTGGTAGATTTTTCTAATAGTGTTCCTTTGGCTAGCAGTGGAAGAATATTCTTCCTTAAAACTATAAAGACTCTTAAATGCATATTAGTCACTTATTTGGGAGGATAAACACATGCTATATATGCATCCATACTTTGATCCTTTCATCCATCCACCAAACCATCCTTAGGACTTTACTACAGATCATCAATTTCTTATGTTCACTACCCAAACTACAAAGCTTTAAAAACTACAAAGCTCTAAAAACTTGATACTAAAACTTGTTTAACTTACATTAATTTAGTGTGAATTTTCTTAGATTTCATTGCAGAAATATTAGTGTGCTTGATTATAAGGAACTATAAGAGACTACCTGCTAAAGGCATTGTGTGGTATAGGTAAATGTAAATGCTTATCTTAAATCCCCACAATTGAGAACTTTGAAACATATCTGGCCCCAAAGGTTTGGGATAAGGCACTTTAGACCTGAAGATCTGGGAGTTGGGTGGCAATGGATACCCTACCTGAGTTAGCCAGGAGCACAGGAAGCCTTAGTGAAGGGAGGGATTGTTGAGGTTCCAGCCAAGAAAGCCCAGTTGGGTCAGCCAGTCACTGGTTCAAAGGACATGAATAAGGCTGCAAAAAGAAAAAATAGACTTAGGAGAAAGACACAACTAAAATGGATCAAGAATAGTTTAAGAATAAGGGAAAGGAGAAAGGGCCTAGATTGGAGTCAGACTCTATTCCTGACTACTATCAGTTAGCTGACAGCTGTTAAGTACAAGTTTGAGTCAGGCTGATTTAAAGATGGAATATTGTGGCAGACAGAAAAAAAATGAGACACAATCTCTGCCCCCTCTTTGCCTAAAGTGTAGAATCCCATTAGCTAGGAGCAGAGTTCTCTGAGGATAGTTGGTCTGAGACAAAGGTTTCTTTGGTTTTTTTTTTTTTGTACTTTTGTATTTTAAAGTTTCTAAACTACAAAACCATAAATGTATAGCTTATTCAACGAAACACCTGAGTTAACCATTACCCAGTTAAAATAGAATACTATAAGCAACCCGATGTCCACCTTGTGCCCCCTTCCTTAAGAGGTAAAACTATTCTGATTCTTATAAAAATCACTTTCTTGCTTTTATTTATATTTGTACATCTTAGCAGCCCAAAACACCATGGTTTTGCCAGGTACTGACTATATATAATCACTTAGTGTGTACTCTTTGGTTTCTAGCTTCTTTCATTCAACATTGTGTTTGTGAGATCCATGCGTGTTACATGTTGCATGAAGGTAAGGTTATAAAATTGTTTTGTTGCTGTATAATATTCCGTTTCATGAAAATGCCACAATTTTCTGCTGTAGATGGGCGTCGAACCCATTTCTAGTTGGGCCTATTGAGACTACAATTACTTTGGACAGTTTCTTTTTGGGCATACATTTGTCCACATTTTTTAGTAGTAGAATCATTGAGTCATAGATTCTGCATATGTTCCATTTTGGTAGATGCTGCCAGTTTTCCAAAGTGTGTACCAATTTACACCCTTCTATTATGCCAAATCCTCATCAACACTAAGTATTGCCAGATTTCAAATTTTTAATTATACTGGTGGGTGTGTAGTGGTATCACACTGTGGCTTAATGTGTAATTCTGTAGTGACTAATGAAGTCGAACATCTTTCTATATATTGGTTTTTTTGTATATATTCTCTTGTACAATTTTTAAGTTTTTTGTCCATTTTTCCCTATCAGATTGCCCTTTTCTTCGTTTGTAAGAGTTCTTCATAGATTCTAGATGCAAGCTCTGTTACTAGTGCTATAAATAAATTCTCCACCATTATTGCTTCCCGTTTTTTCTTTTTTTCTTTTTTGTGGTGCTAGGGATTGAACTCAGGGCCCTGTGCACGCAAGTCAAACACTCTACCCAATGAGACACCCAGCCCAATATTGCTTCCCATTTAATACAGAGTTTCATTTTCATCCCATAGCTTTCACCAGGCTTCCCAGTTCCAAATGATCCCCATTTTGTTGAGGCTTTAGAAAGCTCACTAAACCTGTGAGGTACCTTATTAAGGCTACAGGGTTGTCCCCTCCACTTTCCCTTCCTTTCTCCCTCTCTCCTTCCCACTGATTTTCCCCAATCTCTTTCCCCCTTTCTTCTAATTTTGCCCTTTGGGGGCTGCTTATTATTCCCAGGATAGATAGAAACAACATTCATCCAGCCATGGTGCCAAGACTAGATTTGCCATGTGCTACTAATAGGTAAAAAAATCTTCACTATGCAAATAAAGAGAACTACGTGATTGTCACATTAATGATGAGGAATTGGAAACTCAGAGAAATTAAGGGACTTTCCCAAGATCATTATGCAAGTCAGTGGCCAAGCTAGGACTATATCTCAGGCATAGATATAGTCCTATGTATGCATGTCCCAGTATTTTTCATCTATGGTGCTAAGAAAGACTAGGGTACACAGCTGCACGTTGACTGGAGTGTTTTTTTTTCCTGTCTGAAAATAAGTGCTGTCTGTGTCTGTGTAACAACGTAATCGTAATCGGTAGAGACTATGGCTCATGTCTGTCTGGACCCAGGTTGAGAGATCACATCACCTCTGCTACTTTCCCATCTCTTGGCTGTCAAAGCCTGAAGGACAACAAATGGCTTGAGTAATGAGATGAGTTAAGATAGTGTCTCCCACGCTGAATTATGTGCCAGTTCCAGGACTACAGGATTCTGCCACAATCCATTTACACAAGAAATTAAATTGAAGATCGCAATGTAATATTCATATATTAAATCCTGGCGGACAATCAAAGTAATTAAGGCCAAATGCTCTGAATCATCCTGTGGCATCACGAACATTCTATTGCTGGGTTTTTAGAAGGACTTATTTCTACAACCAATTATCTTGGAAATCATTAAGGCTCCTTTGGAATGCGAATAATTTGAAAGCCAACACGGGTACCCAGTGCTACTAAAACCCCTTTGCCCCCGTGAAAGAATAATTTTGTTTGAGTGGGGTATTGGGTGTATAAGAAAAGTCTGATTTCAAGAAACTAGAATTAGGGATAGGGACCAGTATCTGACCATCCTCTTGCCCCAAGTTTTTCGAAATGAGTACATATGTTTCATCCTAAATTAAAGCAGTTAAACTGAAGCAGGCTACTGGGCTAATCTCGACTGCAGACTGATCTGCTTTGTTTAGTTCTGTGGCTTTTACAAATACATTCTTTTTCAAAATAAAGAACTTTGGGAATTGCACTGGATCTGCGTAGCCATACAGTGATGAATAGGGTCAACCTTCAGACATCCCCCACCATGCCCTACCATGAGTCATCTCATCTCTTAAAGCTCCTCAACCACCCTTATCTTTTAGTTCCAGTTCTTCTTGTCTTGCCTTTGTTACAGCACTCATTGTAAAGTCCTCAAGTTATTTGTTTGGTCCCCCTTCTGGAGTGGAAACCCTTTAAGGACAGGCATTACCTGTGAATTTTTCCAGTATCTTCACACCTGGCCCAGTGCATGTGTCAGAAAATGTGTTTGTGATTGGATGTATGAAAGAATAAAAATAAGTGAAGAGAACAAATTCAGCAAATTGCACAAATACATCTCTGCTTGGGAAACACAAGGTTAATGTCATGGCAGCCTCAAGGAGAGAATTAATCTTCCCTTTTCCAGTAAATGCTTTAATTCTCTCCAAAAAAAAACCAATGCTCTCAAACCATCACCAACAAATGAAACTCTCATCACGAATGTGTAATTAATACTTTTTTTGTTTATCTTTTAAGTTAACTTGTACTTCTTGGAGTTGTACTTAGGGGAAAAAAATCGAGTCATTTTACCTGAACTAATTGCAAGACTTCTATGCATCTTGAATACTGCATACAAAAAAAAGGTCTCTGATTCATCTGTTTTGCCAGAGGGAATAATTAAAAGTATGCATATACAGTAATATTCCTACCAAATTATTTCTTCTCATAAATATTTATCCATAGGCCTAAGTTTGTTGATGCCGAGTAGCATCAATATTATTTGGCTTTACCTTGTACACTACACCCCCCACCGTAACACAATTCTGACTTCACGGATGAAGTATTTGAGAGGTGAGAGTTAACCATCTTGTTCATGTCTGTATCCCTAGCTCTATCACTGAGCCTGATACAGAGAAATTTATTCATTCTACAAAGAGTGCTATCAGGAAGATGGAAGCTCTAAGGGGTGTTACTCAGCAAAGTAGAGCTGCGCAATTCTAGCTCTATTCACTTAGGTTCTATTGATGATCAGCTGGCCACAGCATTTTTGAGTTTTAGGCCAAACTGACCTATGCACTGAAGACTATGCCCTTTTAAAAGGCAGTTGTCCTGGTAAATGGATGGAGTTGGAAAATATCATGCCAAGTGAAATAAGCCAATCCCCCAAAACCAAAGACTGAATGTTTTCTTATATGCCAGTGCTAATTCACAATAAGTGTGTGGGTGGGGCACTAGGGAAGGAGAGTGTTACCTTAGATTAGGTAGAGGGGAGTGAGGGGAGGGGAAGGGATGTGGGAATAGAAAGGATAGTAAAAGAAACAGACAGTATTACCTTATGTATATAAGACTGCACAACCAATGTAATTCTACATGTACATTCAGAAAAATGAGAACTCATACCCCATGTATATATGATATATCAAAGTGCATAAATACATTCTACTGTTATGTATAACTGATTAAAACAACTTAAAAAATTAAAAATATAAGGCAGTTGTCTCACTCCTCCATGTACCCAGCCGGAGGGGGGGGGGGTGCAGTCTGTGTGTTGGCCCAAGCCAGATGGACACACTAACAGCCATCTGTGGCTTTCCTGGGAAGGCCTCTTGAGCCTGCATGTTTCACATCATAAGTTTACCAGTCAGTGTTGGAAACTGTGCCAAGAAATATTGATACTGCACATAATCAATAAACTAGGGCCACAGCTAAATATTTATTGGGGCAGACAGTGACGCCATATTTACCCAGGAAATTCAATCAAGTTCTGTCCAATTACTGTGGGTTTAGATTTGAACGAATTAGCTCTTAGTCATAGAATCCCAGAATGTCAGAGCTGCAAGGACCCTTAGAATAGAATTCATCTGGCCCTGAATAACCCTGAGCTTTTCAAACTTTAACAAAAAAAAACAACTTCTTTATCTAGGGAAATCTTATGGCACTCTTCCCATTCAAGTGGGGGTTGCAGGTCACACGGCTTAGCCTCTGTCTGCCTCAAACTGCAGAGGAGAAAAGGAAAGTCTAGTGAAGTGAAGAAGTACCATAATGCAATGGGGAAGAGTTCTAGACTTGGAATAGGAGTTGAAAGGCTCCAACTCTTTCTTAGCCATGTGGGTTTTACCATTTATACTTGAAAAGGCCTTTGGAATACAGTAATCTAAACTGGTAGGGGATGTCTCTTTCCCCCAAAGGCGTGACAGTAACTAACAGACTTATTAGGAGTGAATTTATTTAAATAAGACACACTGACAACCATTACAAAGCCCAGATGAAAATTCTGAGGACAGGAGACATGGGGAGGTAAATGCCCTTTATAAGAATACCTCATGGAGGCAAAGAGGAGAAATGAAGCTGAGGCTGAATCTTCTCCTCCCATCCTGGCTGCTACACCT